ATTTGGAAAATAAAATCAGAACCTATATGCAAGTTGCAAGTGTGGTCAATGAAAAATGAGCCCCAAACCATTTCACTTCAGATTCCAAAGGAAACTGAATGAATGGAAAGTGTAAATGGAAAGAAATGCCCCCTTTGAAAATATCCAGTTAATCACAACAAAAAGAAGGGCCACAGGCAGCAACCTGCCACTCTGACCAATGTCTACATCCCAACAGCCTGACTTTGAGAAGGCAGCAGCAGGGCTCAGCCTCCTGGACGACCCATGGACTCTTGGCAATAATCCTTACCCTTCCCACTTCACTGTTAAACATGACCTCTGTGAAGAGTCTGCCTTGCTCATTCTTCCAATACAGCATTAGTGAGCACCATTTCTATGCCATGCCCTAAGCCAGAGGCTGCGGATACTGTAATGAACAAGACAGTGTCCTTTCTATTGCATCTTAAGGATACAACTAGTATCCAGTTATAATTGTGACAAGTGCCATGAAGGAGAAACAGAGAATCAAAAGAGCATATATCAGTGTGGAAGGTCAAGCAGAGTCAGGATAAGGATTCAGCAGAGTGAGGAAGTGGAGCGTAGAGCTAGTGGTCCAATGGTTGTTTTTAGCATGGAAGGCCTTGGGATGGGAAGAACAAGCAGTACTGGACATCAGGAAGTGAGAGTGGTGAGGCAGAGTAGGGCGATCATGTAACAAACACAATTAGCTGTATGCCCATTGGGGAAATACCAAGTCTGAAGGCCAGGCAACAAGTCCTAGGCCGGCTAATGCAAGCAAGCCAGCTAATCATGTGGGCTCATCTTCAGGAAGCCCTCTCCTGCATCTCAGGGACCTAGACAGGGGATACTTATTGTCCACTTACAAGCCCCATGTTGTAACAATAATCTAATCATAGTAGGAAAAAGTAGCCTGGTGGGTCAGCTGAATCAGGCAGGCAGAAGTTGAAAATGACATGTCTTGGATTCCCAACTTGAGAATTAGGCAATCATAAAATGTCAGAGCCACCTGCCTTCCTCCCCGTACAACCTCTGAGAAGTGAAACCAGAAGCGCAGGTATGGACAGGCCTAGCATTCAATAACCCCAACACTCTACCTTCCAACTTCAGTCTATCTGCCTTGCCCCCTCTGCAGTCAGTCAAAATGGATTGACTCTTGTCTGAAAAGCAATGTTTCCATAAACATTCTCTGTATTGGACAGATAGTCAATGACCTAATTTAGGTGGCTACTTTTCACTGAATTCTCAAAAGTTTTATGTAATGAAACTTCCACCACAGCTTTACTTGGGCTGAGGACACAAAGATGTCTGATGGTGAAGGGCTGCTGACAAAGGGTGACTTCAGGACCCTCTTTCTCCTTGAGAATCCTTGTAAACTCAGAGTCACTGCTGACCCAACAGTTGCAGGACTTTAATGTCAGTGCTCAACTGAAGCCTTTCCTTTCTTCTGCATTATTTCCTCAGAGAACATTTAGAAACTAGAGTATAGATTAAACTCGGGTAGTCTTATACCTAATTCAAACTGGACATCTGTTAAAGTTGGAGTCTATAAATTCAAGATTTCATGATGAAGGGACTTAAAATTTAGAGCTACACACCCAAGGCAACAGAATTGTTATATATCAGCTTGCAAATGTCACTGCAGGAACCTTGTGAAAATGCAGATACCTGGGCCCTCCCAAGGGACTCTAGTGTGGGTAACGTAAGCCATCTAAGAAGCCCCCTTTTGAGAAACATTGCTCATAGTGAATAACAGCAGCAATCTCTGGTTAAAAGGCAAACACGTCACTAGAGTATCCCACTGAAGTCATTACCTATAGACGCTGTATGTCCCTCAGGAGACTGCTGTGGTAACATGAGGCCCTAATTTAGCCACAACTAAGCTTTTCTTTGTAAACTCAAAAGTTCGATATAAACGTCCATTTAATAATGGTGTACCAATACTGAGGTCAAAGAGTACCAGAGATCTCAATGGAATTCTCTAGAAGGACCATGCTACACAGAGATGAAGTTTGTGTAGTGGCGTCTTCAGTTGCAGAGTGAACGTGATCTTGTCTTAGGAGTTAGAAGGCCTCTGCACTTCTAATACATGAGCCAATTTTTTAAAAATTTTACTTTATGTAAAAGATAATTTTGCCTGAGTGTATGTTTGTACACCACTTGTGTGCTCCTGGACTGAAGTCAGACAGTTGTGAGCTGTCATGTGGGTGCTAGGAATTGAACCTGGGTCTGCTGGAAGAGCAGTTAGTGCTCTCAACCTCAACCTCTGAGCTTTCTTTCCAGTCCCAGTTAATGTTTCAGAAAAACTCCAAAGAAGAAAGTTAATCAACATATTCTGTCACATGACCTCAATACTAACATTTTTTAGTTTACAGTGATACACAACAAAGCTACTCACTTTTTTTTGGATGCTGGAGACAAACATCTTTATTAAAGATACTACCAAAATTTTGGCAAACATTTCAAAACAGATTTGTAAACATAATGCTTCCCTTTTCAACCGGCAGCACTTTGAAAAGACAACACAAGACAACACAACCTGAATCAACATTAGTTCAAAATCCTTATATTTTGACCACATAACTTATGTTCCCACATGATAAGACGAGATAGTTTAAATCAACGTTAACAGATAAACTCCATGAAATGAAAGTTTGTGCTGTTTGATGAATCACAGTATGTTATGGTTAAATATATCTACTCTTTTTATAGTCCTGGTATCCAGGATGAAAAAAATCTCTTAAATATACATCTGATGTAGGTAATAGCTTCTTTGCATATCTCTCTTCAAAAAATACTTTATAGCAGTATATAAATATGTTACCTACACATTTAATTTTATCATTTTGCCCCAAAACTATAGATCTGTTTCATTTTTATAACATATCAATTTTTTTGCCCAACATTAATAAAGCTGACAAACTGTTGAAATGGAAATGCTTTGTCTTCTACAATAGAAGTAGCAATTTGACAGAAACAAACAAACAAACAAACACCAACAACCTACTGTAACACTCATCAGCTGTTTAACCTGAGCGTCCGGCCTACTGAGGAGCAGCTTTTTACCTTCATGCAGCTCACATCCACATCAGTTCTGCAGACATACAAGCTGAACACACACGCATTCTGACGCTGGTAGGCCACAGTGTGCTTCCTGTGGCTGTTAGCACAGGGAAGCAGTGTAGCTATTGATTAACCACACGATGTACACACTAGCAAACACCTTAAGGCAGTCATTGCAATGGGGGGTTTTACTTGCAGGGCAGATTTAACACTCTAGAGCCAGTCAGCCCATATGTATGTATGTATGTATGTATGTATGTATGTATGTATGTATGTATGTGCATAGGAAACTACACACATATTCACACAACTTTCTATTTTTCAACCCTCCAAAACAATGTTTTGATTTTTTTGAATTTTGTGCATATGTCTAAATATTCTACCATTTAAGGCAAAGAGTTTGCATTAAGAAAGGTCAGAAAATAGGCTTATGAAAAGCATTTCACCTTGCACATTACTGTTTTGTTTTGTTTTAAACATAAGCAACTCTTAAGTGTGGACATTGCATCCCCAATACCTAAAAAAATCATATCTAATGACAAACACAAGTTTTCAAGGAAAAATTGATTTGAAGTATAGACACTGGATCCCCAATATCTAAAAAAATTGCTTCTATTAAAACAAGTTTGGGGGTGGGGAGAGGCCCAGAAAAAGAAAGCAGCTTCAAAATTCAAGGAAGCAAAGTAGAATGAAGAGACAAAAAGTAACTCAAGTTTACTAATACTGAAACTTCCCATAAGCAAAGTTTCATCTTTTAGATCTAGAGCAACTCATCTGGAATTTTAAATAAATAAGTTTAAGTTTATTCACATCTTCTGGTCCAAACAGAGTTCTAGTGCCATGACTCTGCTTGCTGTTGGTCAAATTCACCTATTAGTCTTTTGATGTGAGCCAGCTTGTTATGAAGATACTCGCATCTGTATTTTTCTTCATGGTAATTGGGACTGGACTGC